AAGGACACCGCTGAAATCTCTGCAAGAGTGAAGCTCGCCGTCAAGAACTTCCACCAGTCCTTCGCTCCCACGCGAAGCTGGTTCAATGCGAACCGTACCCTCAGATGCTCCGGACATGAACACGTGTAGAAGCATCCCTCGATATCAGCAATCCATCTCATCGCAGCGATCGGATCGTGCGTCCCATCAAACTCTGGTGGCTTCGTGTTGCTGAACTATCGAAGCAGCAACGAGTCACCTCAGTTACCGCGGCGTACCGCTCATCACCGCGGCATAGCTGCAGTACCTGCAGCAGCAGCAGCCTCAGTCACCACGGCGTACCGCTCATCGAAAGTCTCAATCAGTGTGGTCTTGATAGACCCAAACATCTCCGGAATCTTGGCCCTGATCGCCGCCGCCACCTCATCGTGGATCATCTGACGAAGCTCCTCATCACTCACGCTGCTCGACTCAGGTCTGTGGCGTGTCCCAACCATGAGGTCTCTGAAATACAACATAAGAATATCAGAGACTCGCTCGAGCATACTCGCACTCGATAACTCAACCCTACTTGTTCCTTGGTACCCAATGGATTCTTGCTTAGAGTGCGTACTGCTCCGGTGTCTTCAGTAGTTCGGGCCCTATACTACCGTCCACACCGCATCAGTATTCACCTTAAGTCCTCCTCCTTGGATCCCAAATCACAAGTACTCTATATCTCACTGGCAGAGGCTACCCTTCGGTAGACCTCTCATCAGCTCCTCACTGCTACCTACTCGCTCTCAAGCATCACATAGCAGCAAAATCCTTCCTAGGCTAAGGCATCACAAAATCAGGCCACTCTAGTCCTAATATGAATACCTAGCCAACTCTAGCATGCATATCATATCATAACATGTCTCCTAACACATAATGTAAGGGTATTTTTGGAAATCACCGTTCGGGCGCTGGCTGATCGTACACACTGCTTCCTTCTGCCTTTCTCAAAATCTTTTACACTTTTAGAAAAATTGTTTATTTTATGAAAAACTTCCTTAATTCCTCAGTTTGAGTTCAGATTCATCCGAAGATGCACCCGAATCCCTCAAACCAAGGCTCTGATACCAACTTGTAACAACGTAAATTTTCAAAACAATTTTTCATTTTTAAATCATACTTTCATTTACATGATAATCACAAAACATAATGTGTCACTGTGTCATAACAAAAACATGACCCAGAATCTCAATAACATAAACTCCATAAGTGTGTACGGATCATGCCGGTGCCTTCCCACGGTCCTCGCTAGTACCTGAAACACATATCATAACAACTGTAAGCATAAATGCTTAGTGAGTTCCCCAAAATAGCACATGCCACACATACGCCTTTCCAGGCCACAACTCTGTAGGATCTTCCGATCCATGTGTCTCAGGGGACTCCCGTCCCAAATCCCGGTAGACCTTCCGGTCCTACCCGTATCGACCTTCCGGTCTGTAACCTCTTGACCTTCCGGTCCATATCATACATAATCATACATAGGACATACATATCACATAACCGCATATAGCACATACATCATAGCATACAAGACCTTCCGGTCACACATAAGTACCCTTCCAGATACAGTATAGTGAGAAGACTCACCTCGTATGATGTCTAGTAACTCACATGCTCGATATCCCTGAATCTCGAAACAACGACCTAGCCCCGCCTAATCACATAAAGTAATTCTTTCAAATCCTTAATGGCTCTCAAGGCTAGACTAATCCCTTCCTATGTCCTCTCAGAAGGTTAAAAGACCATTTTACCCCTCAATGGTCCCAAAAGTCCAATTGTTGACCAAACCCTAAAAGTCAACAAAAGTAAACTCTCCGGGTTACGCTGGGCGTACCAAGCCTGTGTACGCTGGGCGTACCCGGCGACCTCATAGAAACGGGGAACGCGACCCCCTACGCCGCGCGTACTGGGATTACGCCCAGCGTAACTCCCAGTTTCAGACTCCTTAGCTCTTGAGGTCTTAAACAGTTAAGACCCACGTCCAACTTTTAGATCTGACCATTTCTAAGCCTCTTAATCCATAAAGTTGGTGACTTTAAGCCTTTGCATGGCTGGACAAGTCACTAACACCCATAACATTCCATTACCCAACTCTAGAAAGCTCATAATACAAGCATGACCTCATATCAACGACCAAGATGGAAACTTTATGGATCTATAACACAAATATCACTGAAATGGGACAGATCTAGGTCCATGGAGTCCTTTATGCTCATAAAGTCTCCACCTTTGCGACTTTAACCCTAGAAATGGTCCATAAAGCACAAATCAAAAATAACAAGGAAAGCTTTGAGCTTTATACCTCCAAGTGAAGCTCCTCCCTCTGTAGAACTCAGATCCAAGCTTGTACTCCAACTCCTAGCCTCCACAAGAACCTCCTCTTCTTCTTTACTAACACACAAAGGCACTTTCTTACTCAAGAACACACACACTAGATTTAGAACGATAAAGTTGCTCTTCTAGGGTTTCTCTCTGAGGGATGGTGGCTGGGGACAAGACCATCTCATTCCTTCTACAGCTCTCAAGCCACAATTAGGGTTTTGCACCTGGGCCAACTACGCCCAGCGTAACCCTGGGTACGTCCAGCGTACCTAGGCGAGTCCGAGTCCAAAATAAGCGCATGAGTACGTGCAGCGTACTCTTGAGTAGGCCCAGCGTACTCATTTGCTACAATTTCCACTCAAGGGCTAATCTTGACAACTTGACAAAATAGAAGGGTTAAATAGTTGTACCTGAATTTCGGGATGTTACACGAACGAACATCGAAAAGGCAAGCCCCACCCCCCAACACGTTGCCTTCATTGCTCGAACTAGCCCCGTTGCCTTGATTCCTCGATCATGTTGCCTTAATTTTTCGAACGATGACCTGATGACTAGCATTGTTGCCTTGATTTGTCGAACGACGACCTTGAAACTAGCCCTGTTGCCTTGTTTCCTTGAGCTGTTGCCTTGATTCCTTGAACGTTGACCTGAAAACTATCCTAATGGACAACATGGGTGCTATTCCTCATTTCCTTGACGTATATATTGGGGGGACTGTAGATACGAAGCATCCATCAAGCACCAACAAGGCAAGCCCCAAGACCCGTGAAAGAATCCCACCCCCCAACACGTTGCCTTGATTGCTCGAACGACGACCCAAAAACTAGCCCTGTTGCCTTGATTCCTCGAACATGTTGCCTTAATTTTGTCGAACGATGACCTGATGACTAGCATTGTTGCCTAGATTTGTCGAACGATGACCTTGAAACTAACCCTGTTGCCTTGATTTTTTGAACGATGACCTGAAAACTATCCTAATGGACAACATGGGTGCTATTCCTCATTGCCTTGACGTATATATTGGGGGGGACTATAGCGACGAAGCAACCATCGAGCGCCAACAAGGCAAGCCCCAAGACCCGTGAAAGAGTCCACCCCCCAAACACGTTGCCTTGGTTGCTCTAACGACGACCCAAAAACTAGCCCCGTTGCCTTGATTCCTCGAACATGTTGCCTTAGTTTGTCGAACGATGACCTGATGACTAGAATTGTTGCCTAGATTTGTCGAACGCCCTTGAAACTAGCCTTGTTTCCTTGATTCCTTAAGCATGTTGCCTTGATTATTCGAACGATGACCTGAAAGCTATCCTAATGGACAATATGGGTGCTATTCCTAGTTGCCTTGACGTATATATGGGGGGGGGGGGAGGACCATTGAGACGAAGCAACCATCGAGCACCAACAAGGCAAGCCCCAAGACATGTGAAAGAGCCCACCCCCTAACACTTTGCCTTGATTGCTCGAACGACGACCCAAAAATTAGCACCGTTGCCTTGATTCCTCGATCATGTTGCCTAGATTTGTCGAACGAAGACCTTAAAACTAGCCCTGTTGCCTTGATTCCTTGAGCATGTTGCCTTGATTTTTTGACCGATGACCTGAAAACTATCCTAACGGGTTCTATTTCTCATTGCCTAGACGTATGTATTGGGGGGGGGACGATAGAGACGAAACAACCATCGAGCACTAACAAGGCAAGCCCCAAGACCCGTGAAAGAGCCCCCCCCCCCAAACATGTTGCCTTGGTTGCTCTAACGACGACCCAAAAACTAGCCCCATTCCCTTGATTCCACGAACATGTTGCCTTAGTTTGTCGAACGATGACCTGATGACTAGCATTGTTGCCGAGATTTGTCAAACGACGACCTTGAAAGTAGCCATGTTGCCTTGATTCCTTGAGGATGTTGCCTTGATTATTTGAATGATGACCTGAAAACTATCCTAATGGACAACCGGGTGCTATCCTCATTTCCTTAACGTATAATATTTGGGGGACCATAGAGACGAAGCAACCATCGAGCACCGACAAGGCAAGCCCCAAGACCCGTGATGGAGCCCCCCCCCCCCCCCAACTCGATCCCTTGAATGCTCGAACGACGACCTAAAAACTAGCCCTGTTGCCTTGATTCCTCGAACATGTTGCCTTGATTTTTCGAACGATGACCTGATGACAAGCATTGTTGCCTAGATTTGTCGAATGACAACCTTGAGACTATCCCTGTTGCCTTGATTCGTTAAGCATGTTGCCTTGATTTTTAGAACGATGACCTGAAAAGCAGCCTCGTGTTCTTGCATTCTAGAACATGTAGTCTTGATATCTCGAACAACAATCAGATAGCCATACCCATTGCCTTGGTGTAAACATTGGGGGACCGTAGAGACGAAGAAACCACCGAGCAGTGACAAGGCAAGCCCCAAGACCGTGAAAGAAGCCCACCCCCAACATGTGGCCTTGGTTGCTCGAACGACGACCTGAAAAGATGCCATGTATCCTTGATTCCTCTAACATGTTGCATTAATTTTATGAACGATGACTTGATGACAAGCCTTGCTGCCTAGATTTGTTGAACGACGGCCTTGAAAGATGCCTACCCAAACACGTTGCCTTGTTAACTAGTTCCCTGTTGCCTTGATTTCTCCAACATGTTGCCCTTATATGTTTAACAATATCCTGAAAAGTAGCCATGTTGCCTTGTTTTCTTGAACGACGACCAGGAAACTAGCCTCGTTGCCTGGGCTGCTGGAACATGTTGCCTTCTATTCTCTAAAGACGACCAGAAAACTTGCATTGTTGCCTTTATTTTTAGAACGATGACCTGAAAACTAGCCTCGTGGCCTTGATTTCCTGAACATGTTTTCTTGATATCTCGAATGACGACCGGAGAGCAATGACTGTCGCCTTGATTTTTCGAAGGAAGACCTGAAAACCAGCCATGTTGCCTTGATATCTCGAACATGATGGATTGGCTTTTCGAATTATGGACTAAAAACTTGCCCCGTTGCCTTGATTTCTCGAACAATGCTTTGGTTTAAGTAAAATGTTGTCGGCTTTCCTCGGACGACGGCTGAAAGCTGGCATGCCTTGATCAGACGAACGTTGTCCTAAAAGCGAGCCTCGTTGCCATGATTTCTAGAACATGTTGTCTTGAAATCTTAAACAACAACCTGAAAACTATCCCCGATGCCTTGATTTATCGAACGAAGACCAGAAAGCTAGCCTCGTTGCCTTGATGTGTTTTTATCGGAGGTTGCGTCACCGTTGTTGGTGAAATACGGCCCGGTCACCCGGTTTTATTATTGTAAGTTCCTTTATCCTTGTCCAATTCGTGCCAAACCGGATTCATTTTGGCGTGTTATAGAGAATTATAGCGTCTGAGATTTTTCGACTCGGCCAAGACTAGATACGCCCAAGGTTAACCGGTGACGAGATGACCCAGCCCGATGAAAACCTGGCCAAAATCATATTTTGCTCGGTAACTCGAAATCTGTGCTCATTTTCTCGATCACGAAAGAAAATTTACGAGGTAAATCAATGATTTCGAGCAACTTTCATTCAATGGGTTTTTGCTAATTCGGAAGTACAAGATCGCCCGGTGACCAAAGATGACACAACGCGGTGAAAGTTAGCCAAAATCGCATTTTGCTCGGTAACTCGAAATCCGTGCACATTTTCTCGATCAGGAAAGAAATTTTATGTGTAAATCAAGGTTTCCGAGCAACTTTCATTCAATAGGTTTTTGCTAATTCGGAAGTAGAAGACCACCCGGTGACCAAAGATGACCCAACCCGATGAAAGTTAGCCAAAATCACATCTTGCAAGGTAACTCGAAGTCCATGCACATTGTCTCGATCACGAAAGAAAATTTACCAGGTAAATCAATGATTTCGAGCAACTTTCATTCAATGGGTTTTTGCCATTTCGAAAGTTAAAGTTCGGTAGTGTGTGTGTACAAGTGTCGAAGCTTCGGTCCCCGGGTAATTACGGACCAAAAAAATATTTTTTTATTGAAACGTACATTATTCGTGTTAATAAAGAGCCACGCAAAATTTCGTCAAAACCGGACTTAATTTGAGGGAGTTATGGACGATTTTGCAAAATTATGCATCCCAGGGGAAATCAATGTATGTTCCTGTGACCAAGCTCTTTATGCAATATGTATATATAGGGGAAGGGTGGGAGTGACGCCCTACAGGCGCCCCGAAGATGGGTGAGCGACCAGCGACGTCGAGGCTGTTACGACCAAGGGCAAGCCAAGGCAAGGACATCGGCTAAGCTCACCGGTGATAGCCAAGTCGCGATTTTCGTTTGATCGGTGAAACCGGATCGTGACCAGCCAGTCCTCGACGAGATCCTCGCAACCGACCCATTTTCACCGATGAAAATGCTGATCGCGACCAAAATTGCCCCACGTCGTGGTTGTTCAAAAAAATTATGCATCCTATGGAAAATCAATGTCTGTTCCTGTCACCAAGCTCTTTGTGCAATATGTATATATAGGGGGACCATGGAGACCGAAGCCACCAACGAGCATCGAAAAGGCAAGCCCCACCCCCCAACACGTTGCCTTGATTGCTCGAACGACGACCCAAAAACTAGTCCCGTTGCCTTGATTCCTCGATCATGTTGTCTTAATTTTTCGAACGATAACCTGATGACTACCATTGTTGCTTAGATTTGTCGAACGACGACCTTGAAACTAGCCCTGTTGCCTTGATTCCTTGAGCATGTTGCCTTGATTTTTTTAACGATGACCTGAAAACTATCCTAATGGACAACATGGGTGCTATTCCTCACTTCCTTGACGTATATATTGGGGGGTCTGTAGATACGAAGCAACCATCAAGCACCAACAAGGCAAGCCCCATGACCAGTGAAAGAAGCCCACCCCCCAACACGTTGCCTTGATTGCTCGAACGACGACCCAAAAACTAGCCCTGTTGCCTTGATTCCTCGAACATGTTGCCTTAATTTGTCGAACGATGACCTGATGACTAGCATTGTTGCCTAGATTTGTCGAACAACGACCTTGAAACTAGCCCTGTTGCCTTGATTGCTTGAGCATGTTGCCTTGATTATTTGAACGATGACCTGAAAACTATCATAATGGACAATATGGGTGCTATTCCTCATTGCCTTGACGTATATATGGGGGTGACCATTGAGACGAAGCAACCATCGAGCACCAACAAGGCAAGCCCCAAGACCTGTGAAAGAGCCCACCCCCTAACACCTTGCCTTGATTGCTCGACCGACGACCCAAACATTAGCCCCGTTGCCTTGATTCCTCGATCATGTTGCCTTAATTTGTCGAATGATGACCTGATGACTACTATGGTTGCCTAGATTTGTCAAACGATGACCTTGAAACTAGCCCTGTTCGCCTTGATTCCTTGAGCATGTTGCCTTAATTTTTTGAACGATGACCTGAAAACTATCCTAATGGACAACATGGGTGCCCTTCCTCATTGCCTTGACGTATATATTAGGAGGGGGACTATAGCGACGAAGCAACCATCGAGCACCAACAAGGCAAGCCCCAAGACCCGTGAAAGAGTCCACCCCCCAAACACGTTGCCTTGGTTGCTCTAACGACGACCAAAAACTAGTCCCGTTGCCTTGATTCCTCGAACATGTTGCCTTAGTTTGTCGAACGATGACCTGATGACTAGAATTGTTGCCTACATTTGTCGAACGACGACCTTGAAACCAGCCCTGTTGCCTTGATTCCTGGAGCATGTTGCCTTGATTATTTGAACGATGACCTGAAAACTATCCTGATGGACAATATGGGTGCTATTCCTAGTTGCCTTGACGTATATATTGGGGAGGGACCATTGAGATGAAGCAACCATCGAGCAGCAACAAGGCAAGCCCCAAGACCTATGAAAGAGCCAACCCCCCAAACATGTTTCCTTGTTTGCTCTAACGACGACCCAAAAACAAGCCCTGTTGCCTTGATTCCATGAACATGTTGCCTTAGTTTGTCGAACGATGACCTGATGACTAGCATTGTTGCCGAGATTTGTCGAACCACGACCTTGAAACTAGCCATGTTGCCTTGATTCCTTGAGGATGTTCCCTTGATTATTTGAACGATGACCTGAAAACTATCCTAATGGACAACCGGGGTGCTATCCTCATTGCCTTGACGTATAATATTTGGGGGACCATAGAGACGAAGCAAACATCGAGCACCGACATGGCAAGCCCCAACACCCGTGAAGGAGCCCCCCCCCCAACACGTTGCCTTGATTGCTCGAACGACGACCTAAAAACTAGCCTTGTTGTCTTGATTCCTCGAACATGTTGCCTTGAGTTTTCAAACGATGACCTGATGACAAGCATTGTTGCCTAGATTTGTCGAATGACGACCTTGAGACTATCTATGTTGCCTTGATTCGTTGAGCATGTTGCCTTGATTTTTAGAACGATGGCCTGAAAAGTAGCCTATATAGGGGAAACCCTAAGGATTTCGTCCAAGGGGCTTTGGATAAGGCCTTTGAATTAGCTTAGGCCCCAAGCAAAGGAGTATTAGGGTTTTCCCTAAACCCTAGATCCCTCAGCTATATAAGGAGCCCCCCAGCTCCTGAATTCGACCACTCCTTCATTGGTGAAACCCTATGGCCGAAAATTGCATACTCCCTCTCTCTCTCTCCTTCTAATTTCCTTCTTGCTAGCTCTTGGGTGTGATTCCATTAGAGGCATTACATTTGTGGTGCTAAGCTTCCAAGAAGATGAAGATCAAGATCAAGAGGATTGTCAATTGTTTGCTATAACAATTGAAAGGTATGTAACTCTTAAACTCTAGTTTGTTAATTTTGAAATTAGCCTCTCTCTTTTAGGGTTCTTGTTTTGCAATTCAAAGTTATATGTTCAATAGTTAAAACATAGATCCAAAGTAGGTTGCATGTGAACTTAGGAATTGTTTTTTAGTTTATTTGTTTCACCTAAAACCCAACAGTGGTATCAGAGCCATTGTTTGTTTTAAATTGAATTGCTATAATAGTTGAATTGCAAATTAGGGTTTATAGCCATTAAACCCTAAAGGCCAAAATTTTCGTTTTTAGGTTTTTGGTTCAAAGGGTTTTTCGAAAAAACCTAGCCTCCATGAACCCTAATCGAAATTAGGGTTAGGGTTTTGGAAAACCCTAGCCTCCTCCCTTAAATTTCGAAATTTTCTTGTTATTTTAGGGTTTTATCTTATTTTGGATAATTATTACTTGATTGGATAATTATTGCCTAATTGGATAATTGAGAAAAGTAAGGAAATTATCCTTTACCCTAATTTTCGAAATCTAGAGGGATAAGGATTAGGATTAAATTAATTGTTTAATTTGATTAGATAATCCTTACAAGATTTAATAGATTAATTAAAAGTTAATTAATAGATAATTATTAAATCTACTTATTTGGTTTATTTTAAATTTAAATTAATAGTTTAATTTTTCGAAATTTATATATAAACCTTAAAGTTTTAAAAAGTTTAAAACACACCTTATATATGTATTATAATTAAAAAGTTTAATATTATATATATATAAGAATATGGTCAGTCAAATCGTTAGTATGCCTCATTCACGAAGCTAGTCTATAAGGGGGATATAAGGAAACTGCCTATAAAATGGTAGTTGAATGGGTGTCCACTCTCACCCACCGCTTCCTTGATTAGTGGAGGGTCATTAGCAGAACGGGTTTGATAGGACAACTACATCTCATTAAAAGTATAATGTTATTAAAGAAAGTACTAGAACATTATTTTAGAAAATCCCAACTCTAGTTACTTTAGGAAAAATGTGAAAAGTATGCTAATCCATGAAATTGCACATTATGCTTTATTGGTCATTAGTGGAGCGTGTGTGGTTAACCAGCACACTAAAAGGCACCAATAAAGAGTAGTAATTGGTATCTCATAATTGTCATTTTGATGGAGCGTGTGTGGTTTACCAGCACATCAAT